GAACAATATGTTTTGATAGCAAATTTTTCTCTATTTTGTTTGTTGTAAAACTTGATTTTCTTGAATAGAGCTGGTTTTGTGTTCTGGTGTTCTTCAATATCGGTTTTCATCCCAGCTTCTTGTTAATCCTTCCACTTGATCCACAATTTTTTTTATTGAAGTAAAGACTCAAATATTAAAGCTTTTTAGCCTCATCACTGTCTTAGATGTCGGAGATGTGAGATGCTTATGTTAGTGGGTGGGAGTAGGGGGAGGTGTAGACCTATGAAGAACTGGAAGGATTGAATTATACAAGACTTAGAACTTCTTCCTTTATTGAGGATATGACCTTAGATAGGAGTGTTTGGAGAGCTAGGGAAGAGTAGTTGGGTAGGCGCTTTGGGCTAGGTGGTAGTTTCTTTACTTGTGTGCTTTTGTATGCTTGGTGCTCTCCTATGAACAACAAGTGCAGGTGCGTCGACCAGTGCGCGACTGGTGCGCAGGTGCGAAAATTTTCAAAAAAACAAGGTGCGGCAATGGGTGCGACAAATTTCTTTATATATATATATATATATATATATATATATATATATTCCTTTGAAAAATAGATGTATTTATGTTCAAAACATACTCAAAAGATAACAATTATCTAAATTTTAAAATAATAAAGCACATGACATCCTACAAAATAGATAAGAAACATAATGTAAGTCACACAATAAGTAATAAAACATACAAAAACACCCAATAATTGAGCAATTTATATGTAGGGAGAAATTTAAGAAATTTCAACCTAATTAAAAGGACAAAAGAATTCAGCAAGTTCCAAAAGCAAACCCAAATTAGTTAAAGATACAGAGTAAATTAAAAATGACAAAAGGATAAAAAATGAAAAAAATAAAAAAACAAAAGCAAACCGTAAAGACGGAGTATGACCTAATATGCTTAAAAAACTAAATCAAACAATTTTGAGGAGCGGGTCAAAGTGCAGATCTGACCCGGCACGGCCCTTCTTCTTCTCATTTCTGTGCCGCTACTCTGCAATAGGCCACCGCCTAGTACTTCCTATCCATGGCGGCTCCAGTTGGCCTCGTGTGCAATCCGTGAAAAAGAAAAAAACTATAAAACCACATGTTAGATATACGGGAGCGTCAACAAATACTTTCCTTAGTCCACAAAAGGAAAAACAAATCAGGAGAATGAAGCCAAAGTATGGTGACTTTAATTGGGTTGAACTCATTCCTTTTTCCAATCTTAAAACCCAAACCAACACTATTGTTGTCCTAAACCCCTCTTCGGCTGAACCAAACCACCCCAAGGCCTCCCTAAACATCCAAAACACCTTTACTTTTATCCCTTTTCAAAATAAAGTCTTCTACACTTATTTTTTCAGCCCATAGCTGAAAATAAGAAGAAGACAAACCCAAAACCTTTTTTTGTTGTTATTTCCATCTTTTAAGCCTTTGAATAGGCAAATGCACTTTCCTTTCTTCCTTCCTTCATTTGGACAAAATTCCCCATCAAATAAATCAAGGAATATCCTTCATTTAACCCCACAAACTTCCCTCCTTGATTTAATTAGCTACAAGCCAAAACCCACAAGCCAAAATACCTTTCTTTTCTTAAAACATACCATGTGCCTTTGTCTATGTTGCTTAGGGCCAAAAGTACCACCTTCCTAAACACCCCACATTGTCTCTTCATTGAAATAATACACAAAGGGGCCAAATTCATGTCAAACCACAAGACAAATCAACCCCTTCATTGCTATCATGTGTGGGCCGAAAACTAGAGGCCAAAACAACCCATCTTTTAGTCTCCAAACCATTGTACCCTTTATGTTCCCTACTAGGGCCGAATAAACAACCACAAAAAGCCAAGGGACATTTGAGATGTTGTTGATACACCACCTACCAAATCAGTCACCTCATATCACAAGAATATAAGGCCAATACACCAACCATCACCCATCTTTGTTTGTCCCCCTATTTGGCCGAAATATCCACCACAATCACCAAATGACTTCATTCTTTCCTTGCGATTTTGCCTCCACAATAGGACGAACTAAGCTAGCCCCAAATCCAGGAAAAAGCCAAACAAGATCAGCCCATATCAACTCAAGATTGGAAGCTAGTGAATGATGAAGGGATGTAGGAAGTTTCCTTGTATTTGCATTCATTGTATTGTGTGTTTTCCCCTTTCCTCTCCTTATATATTTCAGCCATATGGCCCTTGTAAGATCAAATTTGAATATTAAACTTTGATTACTCTTTGAGTATTCTTAAAATAGTGTGATTCTATTTTAGCCAAATTTCTAATTATATATCTTAAGAGTGGTTATCTTAAGTGTGAGTTTTAGGTTCTAGATATTTGATTAAGTGTGTAATATCTTAATTGAATTCTAGATTCAAACCCCAAGTTAAGATAAGAGTGTGTAATATCTCTTAACAACAATTTGGTTTTATCCATCCCTAATTTCTTCCATTTCATAGCTTTTCCATTTCTTCTTCTTAATCTTATTCTTTTCTTCCATTAAAAACACCAAAAGAACTCCTTCATCATCTCCATATTTTCGTCCAGCCATTCCCGACATATACACCACCATTTTCTACCCATTTTAAAGCCTAAAACACCAACTTCATAAGACCCTTGATTTTCCTCCTAACACCACCCCACTGCACTCATCGCGCACCCATGCGCACCCGCCGCACCCAAATCGGAATGGTGCATCTTGCGCCTTTATTTTGGCGCACCTATGCTTCCTAGGTGCTCTTTATTTGTAGTAGTTTTCCTTTGTTATCATTTGTTTGTTCTTTGCCTTTGTGCTCTTTATACTCTATCCATGTTTTCTGTGTTTTATGTATTTATTATCTATGCCGCCTCTCTACTTTCATGTAGCGGCAAGGTTTGCGTACACACACCCTACTCTTGTAGGATCCAACTGGGTTGTTGTAATGTACTACTGTCTTTGAAGTCGAAACTTAACTAAAGGAGAATAAAACCTTTCTTATGCCAAAGGAAAAAAGCGTATGCTGGTAATACTGCATAGAGAATAAGTATACCTCAAATAGAAGTTACTATCGGTGGGGGACATGGGATTTGGGAAAGGGAAAATGACAACTGCCTTGTAGTTACTATATAGAATATGCAGACTAGGAAAAGGGAAACAAATGTTGCAGAGTAGAGATGGTGGGAGGAAGGGAGCCTTAGTAAATAATAAAAGGAAGATTTTTCTTTGTGGTATTTTGTTTTAGAATTTCAAAATTGAGGAAAAGGAAAAGAGGAGACAAAATAAGTTGAAAATAAAAGATTTGACACACTTTCTCTTCTTATGTAATTATGTGTGGATATTGAACACAAGCTAAAATGGAAGAATGAAAGTTCCTTATGAAGTCTTATGTGTCCCACTTTTACGTCATTAGGCCATACTATTCTGTAATACCTAGAATGATAAATGCCTTCATTTGTATGAGCCGTATGATACATAATACATCTATCCTCCATATGCTAGCTTCCAAAAATGAATTCTCCTCATGTCGAAATTTTGAACATTGATAAGGACTAAGCATATATTTTTTTAGGTATGAAGGAATCAAATGTGGTCAATTGAAGTGTCACCAATCCTTGGTTCAGCCAGAAAGGAAAGGGGTTGTAGGATTTTGAGGAAGAGAACATTACACTCTAAAACACGCTAAGGGTAAAACAGAAGGAAAAGATTTTGCCCATATGTAGAATATTAGGATAAAAGAGTGAGAATTGGAATGTCAAATGTCTTTGGAGTTAGAAAATCTATCCAAAAAGGATCATAACACCTTGACATTAAGGCCGAATGTCCTTACTCTCCTGGAATG